TGGCTGCAGCAGACATATTCGGAGAGTGTAGGGGAGATGCTGCGCGGCTTTTTCAGCGGCGGCATCCATCATTGAGAAGTGTGTAGGGGAGGTGCTGTCCGCTTGGCACGACGGCGGCAACACTTTTGGCCAGTGACGCGGAAGCGCTGCCGAATTTTTGCGGCGGCAGCAGTGTTTTTTGGGGCGGTGACGCGGAAGCGTTGCCGAATTTTTGCGGCGGCTGCAGTGTTTTTTTTTGGACAATGACGCGGAAGTGCTGTTGGAATTTTCCGGGTCGTTTGTGGGGTTTTGCAGTGGTGTGGAAGTGTTGTCTGCATAACACAGCGGCCAGGCTTTGAAAGTTGTCGAGGGGGTGTACTTTGGAGAGGTGACATTGTGTTGTCCGCATATTGCGGCAGTGACGCCTTGACGTAGTGGTGGCATAGTGGTACTGGTCTCAGGTGGTGACGACGCTGGGACACTAAGAGGATTGTGTGGCCGATCCTTTTGAGGGAGTGGTGTGGATCACTTTTCTGACAGCTTATTGCGGCGATCTCTCACTTGGAGTGTGATCTATACGACTTTCTTGAGTGAGCCATTTGTTTCCTCAGTTCAGCTTCACTCAAGGTCAGTTAGCCTGACTCAGTCCCCTTCACGCCTGTGTGAACCCACACTTGCTTGACCCTGTTCTTTGAACGTTCATTGAAAAGGTATAGGGGATGTGTGCATGCACGTGTGAATGGGAATCTGACTTGAAAATGGGTGCATTGTCTTCTTTTTGAATTTGTTTGTTTGATCTGATGTGCAGGTAGGAAAAAGAACGCCTAAAAAGAGAGGAACTTATTCATATTAATGGAAGTGTATAAAAGGGTGGTCGTCTCCTATTTTCTAGCTTGCATGCATGTTGAAGGGAAAGGCAACCTGTAGACGATGAAAAGAATTTGATCACCCAAGGAAGAAGAAATCAAATGGACATAGATTTTTCCCGAGGTTTCCCATTCTTTCCCGAATGACCCTCTTTGTCTATGCCCGTCTGTGTGAATGATTTTCTCTTCCGATCTCCCTTTTCGTCTAAGTTACCCTTGACGTCAGGCGGCAAGGAACCGTTTTTGCCTGCCGTGGTAAACGTCTTTCCCTTTCCTAGGAGGCATCTGAGGCGGATAGCCAAGGCTTTCTACACAGATCTATATGAATCAAAGACACCCTCACCCCCGACTACAAAGAACTTAGCAGCCCGCCAACTTATGTTATCCTACCTTGACATGACGATCTCGACTACCCAAGCCGAAGGCCTGGACAATCCCCTAACCCTAGCCGAGCTACACACAGCCCTGACTCAGATGAGAAATGACAAAGCCTCGGGCATCAATGGCCTCTCTAAAGAATTTTGGAGTTACTTTTGGCCGACCCTAGGAGAAGACCTGCTCGACTTTTTCAACGACAACATGCTAAAAGGAGGCCTAGGCAATGAACTGAGTACCAGCATCGTTTCACTACTATACAAGAAGGGAGACAAAGAAGATCTAAAGAACTATAAACCAATTTCGCTGCTCACCACACCTTACAAAATACTCGCCAAGGCTCTTGCGAACAAAATCACAAAACTAACGAACAAATGCTTCCACATCGACCAAGCAGGCTTCATCCCGGGCCGATACATAGTGGACAACGTGATGACGCTTAACAAAGCAACAAAAAAAATCACGGAAAAAAGAATGAAGGCTGCAATCTTGTTTTTCGACTTCGAAAAGACCTACGACCAAGTCAATTGGGAGTTTCTCCACGCATGCATGGAGAAAATCGAGGTCGGCCCAAACTTCAAAAATTGGGTGACAATCCTCTACTCATACGCTATAGGCAGAGTCCAGGTCAATAGGATTCTATCGGAGACCTACCCGATATCTAGATCGGTCAGACAAGGTGACCATTTGGCTCCGCCTATATTCCTCTTCATTATGGAAGCCATAGCTTCCTTCCTTCGAAAAGATTCATCCATCGACCGCCTCACTGAACGCAATTTCAACCCGTTACACGACTTTGCCCTACCCACTGCACTCATGTTCTTCGACGACCTTACTGTCCTCATTCGCGTCAATAACTGTTCATTCCAAGCCTTGGTAAGAGAAATGGAAGCCTTCAGACTGGCATCAGAAATGAAGGTCAACTGGGGCAAAATTGAAGGTTGGTGGCCAGCAGACGCCCCCCCCCCCCCAGCCATCCGACACCGCAATGACCATGTCATGGACGACGGCAGAACAAGCACTACGTTTCATGGGCATCATGGTCAACAAGGAAGGAGTATGGCCAGGAATGGGTCATAACCTAATAGCCAGGGCAATCACCCGATTGACCCTATGCAAAAATGCCCAGGCCTCACTAATTGGATGAGCCCTTTTAATAAACACGACGATATTTTCCACACTGTGGTACATGGCATACATCTGGTCTCCCCCCGACGACGAAATCAAGACGTTAAAAAACAGGGTGAGATGCTACATGTGGACAGGAGACCCCAACAGGACCACATGTATCAACAGGGTAGCCTGGAACCACATTACGAGGAAACCTCAAGAAGGGGGCCTTGGGGTAATCGACCCCAAATAGGAGTCCACAACACTGCAAATGAAATGGATTATCAAGATCCTGATCAGACAATCCCTCACGTGGACCCAGATGGCTATAGACAGCATCAGAAACCAGGCGCCCGTAAACTCTCCCCCAAACATGAGAGGTCTCTACTGGCTCATGGCGAAGGACTGGGCAATCAAATCAGTCAGATCTCGCAAGAGAAAACCTGCAGAGCCCATCACCCCCACTCAAACAGCCACCTCATACTGGAATCCGACCATCAAAGCCTGGCGGAGAACGATGCCAAGGAAACACGGCTCACCAGGAAACAAAGAAGAGGTCCTGAGACAACCTCTCTTCTGCAACCCTTGGATCACCGACCCCAGCGGAGCGACATGGACACTACGCACAAAAGACCGAAGATGGCTATCCTGGGTGGAAACAGGCGTGTGGCAGGAGAAACCCTCACTCAAACAGGCCCCTCATACTGGAATCCGACCATCAAAGCCTGGCGGAGAATGATGCCAAGGAAACACGGCTCACCAGGAAATAGAGAAGAGGTCATGAGACAACCTCTCTTTTGCAACCCTTGGATCACCGACCCCAGCGGAGCGACATGGACACTACGCACAAAAGACCGAAAATGGCTATCCTGGGTGGAAAAAGGCGTGTGGCAGGTGAAACACATCTGGGCAGAGGACCAAGGTCAATGGGCCACCGAACAGGAACTACGAAATGTCTTAAAAGGCTGTCAGTTCCTCGCTGAGAACCTAACGTTGATCCAGAAGAGCATTCCAACACAATGGCTCTCCCTCCTAAGGGAGGACTTATCGTGGAAATCCAGGGATTGGGGCATACTCATCTCCCAAACCCAGCCTACCAGAGCATATTGATTCGTCTCTCGAACCAACCCACTCAGCTACCTATCTAAATTCTACTCATACCCCATCGATAATCACAGCATACAAGAGCTGGAAATCCAGGACAAAGATCCCTCCTGCGACACACTAGAATCCTTCCGACTGAGAAAAGTGAGGGTTTCAAAGTCAAAACCGTGGAAAATCTTCCAACCGGACCTCAGCATTTCAGACCTTGAATTCGACCCGAAAGAATGGGTCTGGAAGCAGGGCAAATCCGGGAGAACGAGAACGATATTCAAATATGATGTCAGTTGGGTCTACAAACCACAGTTCCGGACCCCAGACTCAGAGGAAAGTGGAGAGAGATCCTGAATCTGGACCCCACGGACCCCTTGTCCATCCCATGGACGAAGTACCTGTCTATGAGGCCGGTCAGGATTTGAAGCATGCAGCGGCTCGTGGCGCACGCATCGCCGCCGGTCAATCAATGGCTCCACAAGAGGAGGAAACATACGGACCCTGACAGCTCTGAACTATGCAGGCTATGCACAGACAACATTCCGGAAGATATACCCCACTGCCTCCTGTACTGCAAGGAGGCAGCATGGATATGGAACAAGGTGTACGACCTATGGTCCTTCCTCTTCTCATCACCCCCTCTGCCCAGAACTCCCCTGAACATCCTGCTCCTATCCAACAATACGGACAATCTCAAAGGCGGCAAGGAAGTCTGGTTTCACCTGCTCAGAAAGCTGGCCCTATGGGTAATTTGGAAAAGGAGATGCACCAAGACTATCGAAGGTACCGGGGTGGCAAGAGAAGAAATGTGGGTTCTACTGCTGGGAATGGCTGAAACTGACATTTGATCCAGATGGAGGGAGGTGACATCAACAATGAAAGGCAGACCAGAAAGGATAGCCATCAAGAGACGGGTTTTCTTGAGAGACTGGCTTTTACAGGGAAAGATTGCAACTGTGACAGATAACAGATTGATTTGGAAGAAATGGCACAGCGTAACTCCAACAAGGCCAGTGACCCAGTGATGGGCAAACTGAGATTTTAATCCCAACAGCATAGACAACTCTCCCCTTTTCTTGCTTTATACGAATCATCTGACAGAGTCACAATAGATTCTGAGAGGAAAAGTGGTAGGGCAAGCTGACAGTCAATCCTCCAGGTATGGAGCAATCAATGCTGGTCAGGGTTCCTTCAGCCAGACGGAAGGAAGCGTGAGAGTGTTCACCATGTATTTCAATTTTTGACTTGCCGGAGGAAAGGAACCGGACTGACACTCCCCAGAATGGATATGGAGCCAGGACCATAAGGACCTGTTTCAACCGAACAAAAAAAA